TTTCTAGATGTAAAACTTTGACTACATACAGGTAGAAGATCAGTGGCTGAGTGTACTACAGAGTGAGCAGATTCAGGAAGATTAATAGAACTATGTTGTAGGCATATTGCAGGAGCTTTAATTTTTGAAGCTATTGAGTTGTATACGTTAGCAAATCCTTCAATTCCTAGCAAAAGAAATACTTGGTTTCTACCTACTTCTCCTTGTGTAGAGAGCTCTATACAAATGTTTGAAAATATATCTAAGTCAGATATTAACCGGAAAAGATTAAAGACTTTTATATGTTGCGAGTTATTTGTGTCAAGTTGTGTTTCAATATTCTTTTGGTCGTACATATCTCTTTTAGCTATTTCTTTGAGCTTAGCAAAGGTAAGATTGCGAATTTGTTGTATTGTGAAAAAGACACTTAATTCTCTTTCTACTGTTTGCTTAATTTCTAAACTCATCATAGAATCCATACCAAGTTCAGACAAGAGTACATGTTCTCCAACTCCTTTTAAAGTTTTTAATTCTATGTATGTGAGAGACAAAGAGAGAGCGTTAAGTATAAAATTTATATACAAACATGTAAAAGTACCATTTGATAATGGAATAAAAAATCAATGTTATTGTTGATAAAAAGAAAGAAAGAAAGAGACGAGTTTATAATATAGTAATTTGTATATTTACCCATAATGTTCATCACAACGTGCAGAATATCTCCAGAAGCTTTCGATTTTGTAGCTACAATCATACTGCTTACAATCGGTCTCGATTCTGCATTAAGAAAGTGTTTAATGATTCTAAACAAGATGATATTCGTTGTTGCAATGTTCCACTGATAACTAGTTCTTTATTGTTTTGTTGCATGTCAGCGACAAGACCGACGTCACCTATCGCACTCCACTGAATAGCCATGCCAGGTAATTCATCTTGCGCTTTTTTTTTGCAGAGTCTTTCCATTATCGAATTGGCCATACCGTAGTTAGTTTGTCCAGGATTTCCCTTTCCACACGACACAGATGAAAATACCACAAAATGTCGCAGATGAGGACACATTTTTCTAGACAAATCGTCCAGTTGCTTTGTAGCTAGAGCTTTCGACTGAAATGTTTCTTCAAATGTTTCCGGAGATTGATTCGTGAAGATATTATCTTTTAGCACAACTGCGAGATTAAATATAGCATCTACTGGTCTTAATTTGTTGGCAGAACGTAAAATCGAAGCACAATCTTCATGAGTAGATGCGTTAAAGCCTGTTATTATTTGCACATTTACTCCATACGATTTCCATAACTCTACTCTTGACTGTTGATAACCGTTCTTTATACCATTTCGTGAAATGAGTATAATTTTTTGAGCGCCACGAAGAATCAACCAGTCAGTTAACTCCAGGCTAAAACCGCCTAAACCACCCAAAATAATATAAGATTTATGTTCATGACAGAAATATTGAGGATACGCGAGAATAGGAGCGTCCACATCTTCCTCTTTTGTACGTACTTTCATGATTACCTAAAAGTGAAAATAAAAAGTCTTAATAAAGTTATATTTAAAAGTTATATTTAAAGTTATATTTAATAGTTATATTTAAAGTTAAAGGTTTTACTAAATTTAAAAGGTTTTAGTAAAGTTATATTTCAACTGTTCTTTATATTGAGACAGAAACACACAAAATAAAATATTTGTATTAATAAAATATATTTTCGACACATGACACAAAACTATTTGTAGCTTTTATTTTTACATTTTTATTCAGTAATTGGTTAAAATTTTTAATTCAATAATTAAATAAATTGATAACAATTTGTAAAGAGTTGGCTACGATATTGTTGGTTACAAGAATATCGCAAAACATTGAAAGCCGTTTGCAAAATAATCAAGTCGAAAGTTTTTGTCACCAAATAGCATTTGTCTTTATCGAACTATCGATAGCAGATTAATAACAGGAACTGCATAATCTGGCAAAGCCACATATTCAATTCTACTGCAATCTTAAAAGTTAAATAACATTTTGCTAAGATTGTTTTTACTAATCTTTTTTATTTGAAATTTATGGTGGGAAAAACCACAGTGTAAATCGATATAAGTATACTGAAACGTTTATATGTTAATTCTAAATAATTATTTTTTTAAGTAATGTATATATGAAATATACAACCTCGATCACGCATGACGCGACCACCTTTAGTTGCTATACACAGTATTACATTTTGTTTGAAAATTGTAATTTTAGGTTTACTTTAACTTACTTTTCCTATATGTTTTGCAGCTGCCATATGTTTAAAAGCGGTTTCTATCTCATGTTGTTCAAAAACTTCTCTTACAAGTGGTACGATCGCTCCACGCTGAATCATAGTGTTTATCGAGTTACGAATATTTATTTTTCTTGATACATCAGTACTAATAAATAGTTTATCTAACATAACTCCATAGAAACTAATGCCTTTTGAAAATTCTTTTAAATTTATAGTATTGTTAGATAGTAAATCATACTTTCCAATTTCTAAAAAGCGACCACCTTTTGCCAAACACCGAATAGATGCTTGCAGTTTTTCTTCTGCTAAAGAATTTAGCACGATGTCCACACCTCGACCTCTTGTTTGTTGACTAATCATTTGTTCGAAGCTGGTGTCTCGAGAATTTCCTATATGATCTTCAGGAATAGAAGGAAATTTTTCTCTTATAAACTTTCGTTTCTCAGGTGTTCCTACAGTTGTGAAAACTTCACATCCTTCAAAAAGCGCGAGATAAATTGCAGATTGCCCACAACGGCACCAGTTCCGGAATGTATAAGAATTTTATCTCTTTTCTTTAATTTTCCACGTGTGTACAAAGCATAATAACTCGTACAATAAGCAACTGGGACAGTTGCAGCATCCTCAAACGTCCATTTGTCAGGAATGATCCAACAAAGTCGTGGATCAGCCACAATAAGATTTGTGATTCCTCTAAAATGGTTTACTTACAGTAGTACTTTATAAAATACACATATTGTTTTTCTATGTTTTAACAGTAAACTTTGGAGTCTGTAGACAAAACATTCAATGCGTTACGCGTGACACGAAACAACACGGTAGCATTTTACTCTTATAGAAAAGCAATGACAAAAAATATTAGTTGGCGTAGCTTTTAGTCATACGTCAAAGCATTGACTTGGTCTATCTATAAAAAATCTCTAAAATTAATTTTTATCCATACATAGATAAAAAATTATGTGCGGTGCACGAACATACGCATGCACAAGAAATGCCCCACATAACTGAATAATATTTAAATAGATTCTTTGTTTTTACTATTAAAATTCAAGTAACTTTAAATTTTTTTGTATGTTCCGGCTTAAATAAGGTCGCGCAACTCGTGTCAAAACTTAGAAAAAAACAGGGGAAAATTGTGAATTACATCCATCAGCTCAATCTTGAAAAATTGAATTATTGAAGATAACTGTTTTGTATATAAACTGTAACAACTAATAAATTTGTGTTCTCCATACCTTACAGTAGATACTCCCATTATTCTTTCACCAGTTGCTTTGAACCCGACGAATTCAAAACCTAGGAAAGAATCGACTTTTCTTGCTCCTTTTTCAGAAGTATATACAGAGAAATTCTACCAGTAGCTGTCATAATATCCTTGAAATTAAGTGATGCGTAAACTACACGTACGAGATTTTCTTGTTTGTAATCAGGAGATATCGGGCCTTCAACCCAACGCAACTTGCTCAAATCACCTCGCACCTACAACAAATATCAATTCTGTTGTAATAAAAAATACACAATAGGAAAATATCATAAATTAATTTATAAATTTATATGAACATACACTCTGAGCGACATAACCATGCTGTACAAATTTTGGTTTTAGTTGTGGTAACGGAAGATGTCTATACGATCCCCAAACTTTGTTGGGGCGTAAAATGTTAAC